TTTTTATATAGCGCTTACCTTAAAGCTCTAAGCGCTTTACAATTATTAAAAACATGTAAACTAAGTAAAATAAAAATGAGACACTAGGATAGTAACTACTATACTATAGAAACAATTAAAATGGCTATAAAACGAAGACACTTTGGCACGTTTTGGCCTACACTACAGGAACAGAAAATGAGGCAGGGCGAGGAGGGTGCATCACAGGTCATAGGCGGACCTAAACAGATGGGTTTTAAGGGACTTTTTAAAAGTGGACGAGGTTTCACAATGACGGATATGGAAGAGGAGCTGGTTCCAGAACGTAGGCCCATAGAAGTAGAAGGAGCGTTCACCGATGGTCTTAGTTTTGGTTCTTGGGATTGAGAGGGTTCTATTATCAATGGAAGAGCGTAGTTGTCTAGTGGAGATGTAAGGAAGCAACAGTTCAGAGAGATAGACAGGAAAGTGAGGGTCAGTGAACGAGATGAAGCATATCATCAACTTACAGTATGGTAGATCTTGTACCGGTACACAGTTAACACAGTTAGAATAATGTGCCAATGAATAATGATGAATGCGAAATAAACACATATGAGTATGAGCACACAAATACACAAAGAATAATACACGTCTCGTAAAGTTAATAATTTCTATCTGCATCTCCGTCCCTCTGTCCGTGCCTGTCAATCCCTTATATTATATAGGTCGCGTAAGCCCTGCCTTCCAGAAAGACTTATGACGTATTGTTTACATTTCTCGGGTTATCGAGCACATTCGAGAAAATACCAGGAAGACAGTCTAACGTGTTTAATTGGTAAACACGGTTGTAAACAAGATACTTCAAACGAATGGGCCACGCCCACAACAGACGTTACTGTCTGCTAGGATTCTAATTTAGGTCAAGTAAAATTCAAGCTCGGAAAAAGTGTGCTACATAACAAATATTTAGAATTTTTTTTTAGATTTTAACTGCCTCTCAGGATTTTTGAAATGGTCAGCAAAATGCCTATTTAAGTTACAATAAAATCTACCACTTCTAACAAAGCTTAAAACGATATTAAGCTTAGCTTTAAAAGTTGAACAGAAAAATAAATGAGTGAATACAAATATAATTTTAAAGTACCATTTTTTGTGAGCAGTAGGTTGTCAAGGTGACGGTCTCCAACTTGAAGCAGGTAAGTTACAACACAATAACCAGCTGGTCAAAAACATGTCATGATTTATTGTTCAAGGAGCTTCCCATGGATTCATAATATTAAAAAGCATATTTTAAATATAAAAAATATTTTAAATTATATATTTGTATATATATAATATTATAATAAAATAATAATAAAAATCAGCATTTTGATTGACTGGTAATTCTGACAGTGACAAAATTAATGATTTGGTTAACCAATTGTATTTATTAATTTATTCAACAAACATAACAAAGTTAAAATTTACCACAGCTTTTCACATAATTATCCATAACTTCTGGTGCAATACCAAATGGACCTGTTTCAGATGGATTGTGCTGCCTCAAGTAATTTTGGATTGCCTTTTCTTTTGACAATTCTGACAATGCTTTGGATTCAATGTATTGCACAAAACCTGGTCAAAGAAAGTAAGGTTAAAGAATAATATTGATAATGTTTAACTTTTTCAATTTTTTAAATGAAATTTCTAGATTGAGTCCACTAAGCTTTACATCTCAAGAACCAAAATTAGATAGATTTTTCAAGATGAACACAGCATGGGCAAAAAATTAAACCAATTTAACAATTGTGCTATAATAATTCTAATTTCAAAAGAATGTTTTTATTTGTGAATATATTACTAATTTCTTTGTTGAGTCAAATAAGTTTTCATAAATACATTACCATGCTCTTTGCTTGTTGCCAATACTTTGTATGGTGTCATCTGTAGGTCCAAGTTTTCATGTCGCAAAAGCTGTATGTATGTATGAAACGAGTATTTTATTTTAAATACCAAAGCTTTTATTTTCCCCCCAGAAACTTAAATGTAAAAAAAGGAGAACTTTTGCGTGTGGTGTACTCTCCTTTTTTTTTTTAAAAAAAAGGCTAAACAAATTATGCAAAATAATTTAAGTTTCATTTAAATGCCAAAAAAGAAAAACACAAACAAAAAAAATTTATAAGCACTATTGATTTAAATAAATAAAATGAGTGAAACTAAAAACCAATAGAAAAAACTACAGTATGCTTTTATCTTAGTACATTTCAGTTTTTTTCAGATGGCAAATTAATAAATAGACATTTTGAATGTTCAAAGGGGTAGAAGTTGTCAAATAAAGAAATGTGTGCCTTATTCCATTATCAAAATTCTCCTAGAACAAGTGAAATTTTTAAAAAGTATTTACAAAGACTGATCAGTTTTAACAACTCTACAATGCTAAATTGGGGATAAATTGAATATTAAAAAAAAAAAAAATAATCGATTTTGGGACAAAAAAGTGAGACATCTTTTAGTGGCAGCATAAAGGTAACCCCGCATTTTTGACCTACTTTATCCATAAGTTGAAACATCTGTAGGATAAGCTGATCCTGGCGGAGATCATCCCCATATTTAAATATGACTTTGTATTCTTTTCCGCTAACAGTCTCAAAGGTTAACAAACAAGGGCTTAGCTTGCTCTGAGGATAGAGAAGTATCAGGAGGTTGAGCCAAAAAAAAACAAAAAACAACACTATTCAAATTACCACAGTTATTGAGAGAAATGTTGGGTATTTTTGGAATGTCAGAGATAAAATACATACAAATATAATTTATAACATGATAAGCAACTAAAATCATTCCCATAAAATTATATACCAGATATGTTGAAATTAATGCCACTGTAAGGATATCATTTAGTTCATTTAAGAAATATGCATTTAAGTAAATGAAGCCTTGAGGTTCTTTCCTTCACTGCAATACAATTGCAATATTTAACTCATCATTACTATACAACTCACAGCAAACACATTAGCTTTCTCAGGCACAATAGATTTGACTAAAACTGAAGGGTCCAGTGGAAGAGGTATGGGCTCACTGCTGAGCATCTCTGAGAACTCTGGCTTGTGAAGCATGGCTTGTAGGTGCTCTATCTGTTAAATGAACATGAAATTCTTTTAGCTTGATAAACAATTATGATCAGAGTTGCAATGAATTGTACAGTTTAGGGGTGGCCAAAAAAATATACTTCAAGAACTTCAACAAAATTGTCAGTATCACAAGTCCTACACATTTTTGTCAGATTTGGATTGAAGTATAAGCTACAAATCGGAAAGATTGCAATTTGTTGGGATTAACTAAAATATTTTTTTTATTGATGAAAATAGAGAAGAACCTTTTAGTTTACATCCTCCAAATAAATTATATCATTTAGCTTGTTTGTTTCATAAAGCTTTCAGTTATTAACTTTACTTACCAGTACCCCAGATGATAAATTAAGTCAAGTTTAAGATTTCGCTAACATCATAAATTAGACTTTTCAAAAAACATTTTAACTATAAATTAACACTGCAAATGCCAACTACCATTTACTACCAACCTTTTTTCTCTGACTACCAACATTTTTTAAAGACTCCACCAAAGTGCAAAGTTTTTTCAATAATGTTTGCTGCCTAGACAAGATGGCCCTCTGTTTCTTACTTTGTGGGGGCCCCTGGAAAGCAATGAGGGCGTGACCAAAAAATGGAGTTTTAATTTTTAATTTACCAGAATAACACATGGGGATCAATACAAAGGGTTAGTGTGTTATATTTTCACAAGTTTAAGTTACACAAAAGTTGAATTTTTAAATAATTATTCATGGCACTTTGAAAACAGGGAGACAAACGGATCCACATTATTTAGCTGTTACCTGCATATACTCAAAGGTGTAACTTGTTTATTTCACTGTTATGCCTTCGTCAATACATCACATCAAAGTTAAAATATCATATAAGCAAGAAAATGTTTTGACATTTAGAAAATTTTTTTTGGTTCTTGAAGACTTACTTTACTGAGAGCAAGGCTGAATCTCTTGAGCACAGTTTTGTACATGTTCAAAACTTCTTCTTTTTGAATGTCTTTGTTATCCTCACACTCAATGACTAAATACCTGCAACAGAGAATCAAGCAGAAGCTCAAAGAAATGTTTCAGCTCGTATATTTTCAAATCAAAATGGTTGTATGTGAAATCGTTTCATGCGTTATAAATAATTGAAATTAAAGTCACTTACCAATAAAAGTAATTTGCGATGACTGGATTCTTGCAAGCTCTTGAGATGAGAAATGTTGCAAGATCCATCTGAAACAGATACAAAATTTAAAATACTGTGCCTCTTAGTGCACTGTTTGACCCCGGATGTACTAGTATAACTTGCATCATGAGATGATATTCATATAGAACTAAACTTGTAAGCAATCTTATTCAGAGTTGACCATGTAGCCAAGACTTAAAATATTAAGTTACATTTTTTTAGTGAACAGAGTAAAGCATAGCTTCTATACTAGGACAAACCTCATCATCAAGAGCAGATAGGGACATGCCATTTTTACCAGAAGAAGGTCCACTATTCATGGCATCTAATATTTCTTCTTCTGTTGTTGCTGAATCTGATCTGAAAAATACAATTTTTAAAGAGCTTCATGACTTTATGTACTCTACTAGGACACTTTTGAATGTTTACAAAATAGAATCATATTTATAGCATGTATGTAAATGACAATAAGACATTAAATCCAATCAAGGAACAAAAAAAGTACCAGCAATTATTTAAAAGCTGTAATAAATTCTGTTTTAAAATGGTTGATACAATTAGAAATTTTTACATACCTCACTTTTGTTTCTTCCTCTAAGCTAGAAGTTCTGTAATAAATATTTGAAAAAAATTCGAAATAATTTTTGTTGGACAAATCAAAGCAAAAAAAAAAAAACAGAGTTCTTAAAAAAACAAAACATTTGGAATAAAAAAACTCAATAACCATTCTATTTTCATAAGACTAAAACATCAAACAGGACTGATTACATCAATGGTGAATGTTTATTTTTGTAAATAATTCGCCATGGACTGATTGTATTAAACTCTGCCAGATAATCACACCAAACACTGCTGTTATTTTGTTTTTCCTGAAGAGCACTGCTCTTAATTTATTGATGCACAGCCAATGAATGTCAGGATTATAAATGAAGGACTGCGTTCAAGCTGTGCGAAGGAAACAGTGGAAAAATGTATGTGGAAGCTTGAAAAATAAAGATGGGAAAAAAAAAAAAGAGAATGTTTTGGAAAAGAGCCCGATTCAGCAGACAGGACAAAAGAAGAAAATAAGAAATAGAATACAGTTAAAAAACTTAAGTGTTTGGAGTTCGCCATAAATACTATTCAATTACTGGAAGTTGGTTTAGAGGAAGAAACAAAGAGAGGTATGTAAACACTGTGTTGAAGTTTAATATTTTGAACATAGCAGCTCACGCCCATGTTAGCTTAACAGTCTATCAGTTAAGGTCTGTGCACTAGGCATAGGAGAATTCATATTAGCTATTTTTCAATGTTAGTAACGGACACTCGTGTTTATAGCTTAATAACAAACAAGAAACTCAGGCAACTTACGAAGAAGTTATATTTGACTGTGACAGGGGATGTTGATCTAAGCCTGTAACTGGCTCTAAGGCCATCAATGATGTCAAATCAGAATCTCTTCCACCAGTGTCAAATTCTGGTCGCAAAGGTACAAAATCCCTGTCGCTCCGATTTTTTATTTCTTCAAAGTTTTCATATTTAAGGGCTTGCACAAGTTGTAGCAAATACAAGAGTAGATCCTACATACAAATGGAGGGACAAAAAAAAATGTAAACATTGTATGGATGTTTGTAGTTGGCAAAACCAAATAGCACCATGAATACCAAATAAGTAATATGAAGAAATCTTGTTGGGCGAAATAAAATTAACAATTGAAGAATGAGAGACAGGGTGATTCAAGTAATGATTTAGATGGGTGGCACAGGGAGTAGGACACAGGATCTGCATGTTTAAATCATGTCATTAAAATTGTAGAAATTCCAAAATTCACCAACAATTCATCCCTTAACTCGTGGAATATGCAGGCTCAATCTTTTACCTACCGGTATCAAAAGAGTTTGAAATTTGAAAAAAAACAAATTTCCCCTCAATGCAAAATACCTCATCATTAGCTTGTCTCAATCTCATGATGGCATATTTCCTCACTCTGGGGTGTGAGAATGCCGGACTCAGAAGCTCTAAGGCGTCCTCTACATTCATGGGACTCCATAAAAGTAACATTTCAAGAGCAGCTGTTGATTCTTGGGCCAATTTCCAGTTGACACTTTTCAAAAACTTGGCTAGGGCCTAACAAATTATTCCAATAGTTACATTTATTTTATTGGCACATTTCAAATTTACCCTTTAAAAACATTTAAAAATTATAATTTGTATAAATTATCAAATTTTAGATTACAAAAGATGGAAAATCAGAATTGTGTAACTTAAAAACCCTTTCAAAAACAAGTTATTACATGACCTTTGAAAGAAAACAATTGTAAAAACAAAGTAATAATATAGCCTCTTTAGATCATTATTAACTTGCTTCTGTCACATTTTATACTAAAATAAAAATGGAAATTTCACTCTGTCCCATTATATTTTAAGCAATTTAATATAAGGTTGTTATAAATAATGAAGAATGAAAGTACCAGCATATAAAATCAATTTTAAAAAAATGAGCTTAAAGTGAAAAATTACCATATCAGTTTTGTAGAATTAATATGATAAATTATTTCAATTTTATCTGCTTGATTTATTTTTAAGACCTATATTAAAACAATATAAAATCAGCTCCATCGAAATGAAAACCTTTATGCAAAGCATACCTCTTTCTGTGATGATAAATAAAATCTAAATTTCCAGACCAAATCTTGCTCTTCAGATGACAAGGTTTTAGTTGGAGGGTAGCCAACAATAGTCTGCAAAGAATGCACAAAAGATAATAATTGTATAAATAGAAGAAGGAAATAATGTTCTTACATTTCAAGCAATGCACAGAAATGGAAAACCTTAAAATAGTTAGTGTGATTCATAGAGATTAGAATATTCGATCTTCGTTTAAATTTAAGTATATAAGCAGAGGGGAGCTAATAATTGTCAGCGTTAATGAGTTGAATAACACAGAAGAGTTGCTGTTGTTAAACAGAGGATCAACAATTTTAGAGAATCTTACATTGAGCAAATCTCTTGTGCTTGCATCTGGTTTGAGATCTTTGTCACTAGGGCCAGACCGTAGGCTTCGAGCTAATTTATGGTGTTTACTTTCTACAATGTTCTCCTGATTACAAAATATAAAAAAAGTTACATTCTCTCAACATAGATAATATATAAATAACTTTTCTACAGATTGTGTCATAGCTTAGTGCATGTAATGCACATTATTTATGGTTTGTTTAGTTACACTATGTGCGATTAACATATAAAAATTAGGGCAACTTTTAAGACTCAAACAAATAAACTAACTGTATAACTAGAAGATGGAAATAATGAATATAATCAAGATGCCACATATTTATTATTCTCACTTAGCGTGACAAATGTGACTAGTTCTTTTAAAATAGTCTGATTGAATCATGGGAAGCATATGTTTGATTACCTATTATTAGTTCAGCTAATTATGACATCCCAATTTAAAGCACTTTTACTTGCCATTAATAATTCAGGATCATGAATTGTCACTACCTCAGCCTGTGTTCGAAACTCATAGGGCCGCTCTCCTTCCTGAGCACATTCGATACGAAAATAATTTGTTAATATAAAAACAAGGTTAAAATAGTCTTAGATAAAATCTCTTAAGAATAGTTCATCCCAACTATAATGCAGCTGCAGTACATGCCTTTTCATCTATTTAAAAACTGATTTATTTGAATAGTTTTGACTCCTCGCTTTTAAGTTCTACAGGTTCATGACAAATTAGTTTTTAAACCCTTTAAAGTGATCATTTAAAAAACCAACCTTTTCAAAATAGACAACGGAGAAGTTCAGATTCTCAAAGTGAACACGGGGGAACTCCACCATAAGATACATGCATTCTGAATCTCTTTTTTCTTGTTCATTCACAAGTTCAATTTCTCTGAATGTGAGTCTATCTAGCCAGTCTATTTTTGTCATGTGTCCATCTCTGTGCTTCTTTGCCAACTGATTAAAAAAAAACATCAACTTCAAACTACCATTTAATTACTCAAAATTATTATAAGGAATAATCTTTTACACCTAATAAAGACAAGATTTTAAACAGACTAATTTTAGGCTACTATTCAGTAAGTGAGAAATGATACTTTTAATAGAAAAAAATTATTTGAAAATTTAACCTTTGGTATATTAGTAATATTATTTAATTTGAATATTATTTATATTTACTTTGGATAATTGGCTCATTCTGTCACTTGAATCTTTAGATTTACCAGGAGTTGCTGATTCCATACTGGGGTCTGGTTTGCGATCTGGCCAAACTTTTAAATCATGCATGCCTTTTCGCAGAGTACTGAAAAAAAAACAACCCACAATCATTAAAATAGAAACAGAAATACATAAGAAATTTGATATATTTTACACGTGTTGATGTAATAAGTTACCAATTAACAAAACTTGTTCCATTTCTAGAGGTAGTTCAATAAAAATATAAGCTTGTATGTTAACCCGCTTTTTTACCAAAAGTTAGCATCTGTTTTGTAAATCTCTTCTTATTAGATAGCTTTCTTAAATGATCGAAAAATTATTGGCAGATTAATGTGTCCTAAATGTTTTGAAAGGATGTGAAGTACCATGTTCATCAGTTAATTCTTCAAGTATTTGTTTTGTCTTTATTTTTTTAACTCATTCATCAGTTTATTCTCTGTAAACTTCATCATGCTGCCACCTTGTAACATATGCAATGGAATCGTTGACCAAAAAAAAAAGGCAAAATGCAATTGGTTTTGACACTGATGCAGGCCAGGCAACTGGACTAATGAAGGATGGATACCAAAGCCAGCAAGGACAACTCAACTCAGAGAACAGTTATTCAGATGTCAAAATCAGACCTTGCACAGAACAAAAGAGAATGAGTTACCAAGTAGAAACCTGAACCTTAAGTCTAAATGTTGTACCACAGCGTTTGCCTAAAGCAACAGTGAATAAATATTTATTCATAGAGCACCACAGATCTTTCCCTATAGTCAAGTTGAGCATGACTTATACTTGACTGCTGCTTCAACAATTTCTGAATTCACTGGTTCAACTGGTTAAATTAAAAAACAATTTCACCTTTCATATTGATGCTTCAAATTGTGATGCTTGTGGAATAGTTTTAAATCAAAAGTCGCTATAGGTCAATAATAGATGTTCATCTAGCTTTGTTTGCCTTTTTAATAACCCCATGATGTTCCCTAGTAGATTACTTTAAAATAGTTTGCAAAATGAAATTTTTAACTTAAAAAACCCTTGATTCCTGACAAAATAAAATGACAGTTTCCAAATTAGCATACCCTCGCTTCCCAAAGACAGAGATAGTGGTGCCTCCAATTGGTATCATGCCTTCAGTCCCATAATAGTCCCAAATAGTAAAGGTAATCAATGCATCCCGAGGAAGGTCGCTAAACTTAATTGGTAGATTCAGCCATTCATTCCAACTGTTGAAAAATGTATAAATTTGAATGTAAAAATAGACACAATTTTTTTTTTGTAATTGACTTAGAAATCCTATATTTAATTCACCATTTAGAAAGGTCACTAAAATAATATAAAATGAGTAAAACAGTGTAGGGTTAAACCTGAAAAAATAAACGCAACTAAACAGCGAACGTGTCGCTGTCATTTCTTTTGCTGCCGACAGATACTACTTCACAGCTAAGTGCTATTTCTTATTTTTATTTTTATACCGTTTTTTCTGTTGTTTTGTTCGCTGACGACGGCTTTCTGCGTACACGTTCGCTGTTTTGTTGCGTTTATTTTTTCAGGTTTAACCCTACTCTGTTTTACTCATTTTATATTGTACTAACCTGATTGCAGTCTCTCTCCTTATTACCCTCACTAAAACAAGCATAAAAAACAATGGGTTGAACTTTTAAAGTCAACACTTACAATTTTTAAATGGTGAGTAAACTTTTGGATAGACACACCTTGACATCATTCATAACTACTTTAACTTGATTAACAGTATCTTATTTTGAGATTTCACTAGTTAAAAAGAATATTACAACCCAATTTATTATTATATATTATATATGATATATGACTTACTTCCAGCGTGTTGTGAAAGATTTGTGAGATGTCTGCACTGGTAATGTAATTGGCCTTCCATTATTAAATACTTGAACAGTAACAAATAGATCTGAACATTCTTCCTGGTAGGAGCCAGAGAAGTAACCAACCGAATCTTTATCTATAAGACTTTGATAACTTGGTCTGTTACGCTTTCCTTCCAAGCTCCCTCTGTATAAGAGAAGAAGACACATAAAGATGTTTGAAATTGGCTTTGCGTAACCGCCTGTTTAACTTAATGAAAATAGTTTGTTAATACCTTACATTTTCTACCATTGATAATTGATTAATAAAGGTAATTTTCTTTATCTTTTCTTTCCCGGGAATGAGACAAAATGGCACAGAATTGGGTTAAGTTCATAACATGCTAAATGACTTTAAGTAAAGAATTAGAAAACATAGGACTTTATACAGCTTCACCTTACACTACTTATTACAGTTAGCCTTTCACCTTCCGATTTAGCTTTCATTTTGTAAATAAAAAATATATAACTTAAAATATTATAATGATGTAGGCCCAACCTTTCATAATACGAAGTGATTATTCACAGAGCTGTGCGGATAACGCTCGCCGTTATTCACAGATTTCGGTCTGCCGATAACGCTCGACATTATTCGCAGAATGTGATAAATTAAATTATGAATATAAAATACAAAGTTCGTAAGTAGACATCTCTTCGATAGTGTAGTGGTCAGTCACCCGGCAGACATAGGTTCGATTCCCCGTCGGGGAAGCCTCATTTTTATAAATAAGATTTTTAAAAAAAATATTTAATGGTTATTTCGTAGTGTTATATTATAATAATATTCTTCATATAGCTCTCTTATTCTGTTCACATAGTTTTATTATTATTTTCATATAGTTTTGTTACTTATGTTACAAGTTTCAATCTATTTTGTTAGAATGTTCATTCAAGTTTCATAAAAAAACTGTAAACAACATGGACATGCAGATGAGCCGCATAAACCATGTTTAAGTCAGATACAGCTGTTCTAACTGTACATTGTGATATACTTTTAGCTCTTTTGACTGTTTAATTTTCTTTGTATAATTCCACTCATAGACTTTAACATCCATTTGTTTTTTCTCTAATAAACAAATACTTATTAATAACTTACTTATTCAAATATTTTAGATCTCAGAGTTGTGTATTAATGTTTAGCTGAAAAAATATGTCACGTTTTATTTGTTTCATTTTATTTTCTAATAAGTATCATAATAAGTAGGGACACAATATGCCGCTCCAGAAATAGTTGAAATAACATTTAGTTATGACAATGAAATGAACATACCGGTACCGTACTTAAAACACATCACATCAATATCATTGACATCAACAATTTTAGCTCTTGCAAAAAAAAATATTGATAATTGAAACAAAAAGCCATACTGCCACTGTTGTAACTATGGGTCTAAATATAAAAAAAAAGCATACAAAAATTAATTGGAACCCTGCTGATCGTAGGATGCATTGCGAGTCTTTGGGAAGTAAAGTTCCCTTGGGGCAATTGAAGCAGCATTTACAAGTAAGTGTGAGTGTATTGCCAGCGCAATAACCAGCCAGCTTTACTTTTCCCCAGCTAAGGCCAGAGCTGGGTAGACTTAGGGAAACCCTCAAGGATCAGGAAAAAATACTAGCCTTAAACAGGATTAGATTCTGTTATTATCGATGTAGGGCCTATATGCCCCTCCCCGTCTCTCAGATGGCAGCCTGATGGAGACACCTCTCTGCATCATAACACTGTTGCACGGCATGTCAAATATTTCTGTCAGAACATTTCTGGACTACGTGATATATCATAGTGCTTTAAAAAAAACTAAACGATATCCTATCAAGCTTTGACAGCATTTAAAGACATCTCTACAATGGGTGAAATTGAGTCTACATGAAGAATACCGGTACCATTTTTATTACTGGTATAACATTTAATATGAAATACCAGAAAATTAGCTATGTCTAGGAGTAGGAGGTTTGACTGAATCTATTAGTAACACTCTATAGGTCGAATATGTTGGCCCCTAACAGAGCAGATGTAGGCACAATTAATTGTCCTATATCCAATATATAGGCTATAGTTAGGCCTATTAAATTTTTAAAATTTAACTTGTGCATACCGGTAGCTTCGGTTTTGAGATGTGTTTGTGCCATTCTCATTAACGATCTCATCTATCCTACACTACTTAAAACTACACCCCTACCCCGGCTTGGAATGTGATCTTAATTATTTCTAGAAATGTGCGTAATTATGGGAACATTTCTGTCTAACAATAACGCTCTGCATTATTCGCAGATTTTGGTCTGCCGATAACGCTCGGCGTTATTACTAACAATAACGCTCTGCATTATTCGCAGATTTTGGTCTGCCGATAACGCTCGGCGTTATTCGCAGATCTCGGTCTGCCGATAACGCTCAACGTTATTCACAGAGCTGTGTGGATAACGCTTCCCTTCATAATATAAGATCCAAATAACCATGCCATGTCTAAAACTGATTAATACTTAGCCAATAAAAATAAATACAAATTTAAGATTATTTTCAGTGACTGTGACTAGTCTTTTTGTCACTTTACAACTTTACAAGTGACTTGACTTAGCCTACTACTAATAACTTAATAACTAATTTACCCAGCAGCACTGTACTTTGTGTCATCACATGACATTTTTATACAGACATAGAGACCCCCTTGTCACTTTTTATTGTTGTTTTCTTATTTTATGCAACTTAAATAAATTAAAATACATTAACTTTAACTTTCTATTAATTTTTGTTCCAATTTCCAATTCACAGTCTTCACAGCTTTGGGCTCCTGAAGCCACCTGCAATGGTAGCAGGGCTCACGCGACGGCTCTATACTAGCTATAATTACTATAATATGAGTATGAGTGACTATAAAAATACTATTATACATTATAATTATGGTGATTAGTAATAATTATACGATGAAGGAGCCCGTTGATTGTTGAGGCTGAGATTTTACATTTTTATTTTACATTTATTACAACTTGAAATTGAATGTCTTGAACTAGTTAAAATTTGAAGTCAACTTGAACTTACATCTTTATTTCGAACTCAGCATCAAGTTCAGAGCTATAAACATAATTAAAACGGCCACAATTCTCGTCCATTTTTAACAATGGTAAAAACAATCCTTTTTAAAAATAATATCTTTACAGATCTTGTCTTACAGTCTTTGTTTTCATTTTATAACGTTTACTAATTTTCTTGTCCCCCGGACTGAAAATTAAAGTGCACGAGGATTACCTCCCTTTCGCGAGATTTTTGTTGTTGTGTTGAAAAAAAGATGAAACGCTCTTTTTCTTGAAAGTCACACAGTCATTTATAGAAATAATTAAAATTAACTCAATTTTAAATTAGTTGAGAATATTTCAGAGAACAGATGTTCGATATTATTTTTTAAATATGAATAATAACTAAATACACATTAAATTAACGCTTTCGAGTTTTTAATTAATATTAATTTAATAATAACTTTTAACCTATGCCTATGATGGTCATGGTCACTATGGCCATGGAAACATTTATAATATTTATTAGGCCTATAGCCTATGCCTATATTACTATATTTAAAATTTAGCTTTCATTTTTTTTTAAATTTAATAGATTCAAAATCAAGTAAAAGAATATCAGAATAATGAGAATGAGCTTTGTTTATTTTAATACATACTCAGTTTTTATACTACAATCTACAACTAATTTTGAATGCCTAACCTCTGACGACTATGGTCAGTGGCAGTGGCGTAGCTAGGTTTGGCGTCAACCAGTGATTATTTCAGAAATGCCCCCCCCCCCCCGAGGGGGGGGGGCACTTCAGATTGTAGTAAAATACATCTAATTACTACAATGAGGATGAAAAAGCTTGTGTAAAATAAAGATCCACTAATTAATAAAAAAAATCTGACGACTATGGTCAGTGGCAGTGGCGTAGCTAGGTTTGGCGTCAACCAGTGATTATTTCAGAAATGCCCCCCCCCCGAGGGGGGGGGGCACTTCAGATTGTAGTAAAATACATCTAATTACTACAATGAGGATGAAAAAGCTTGTGTAAAATAAAGATCCACTAATTAATAAATAAATAAAATGACACTGAAAATACAACCGTCGAGCCCCTTCCCGTTTAGATTACACCGTGAGGAGAGAGTCGTATAAGCTCCCCATACAGACACTGAAGAGTAATCAAAATCTTAAGACTATATGCACCTTAACCTATACGTCTTCCACGCGGTGTTTCTATGATCTCCATAAATCCATTGCATTTCCACGCGGTGTTTAAATGATACGTTTTATTATGATTTCAACTAACCCACTGCATTTCCACACGGCGTCTCTATGATTCCAATCAACCCATTACGGCGTCTCTATGATTCCAATCAACACATTGCATTTCAACATGGTTTTCTATGATCTCAGTTAACCCCTCCCATTTCCACACGGTGTTTCCATGATCTCCAGTACGGTGTTTAGATTGTCTCGATTCAGAGAAATTCTGATTTTGTAATCTTAACTAATGTGCTATAGTTGTTGGGACGAAACGGACATTTAGAACCACTCAGCCAATAGAGTCAAAAGATTGTGTCACTTTCAGCTTGGGTGGAATACACGGAGCACATAACATGATCCGGCATTGTAAATAATGTTCTTAACAATCAACTGAGCTACTTGGCTCTGAACTGTCATTCTATACCTGTTTGCCCTCCCCCCCACCTCCCCCTTTCTGTACCCCGGGTAACCAACGGGTCAGACACAGACTTTCTTTTCCTCAATAGTAATCCGCCTCTGCAAAAGCATTGCTCAGAGTCACGAGTCATAACATCTTTTAACTAGATCTTGTGTTGCTCAGAGTCACGAGTCATAACATCTTTTAACTAGATCTTGTGTTGTTCAGAGTCACGAGTCATAACATCTTTTAACTAGATCTTGTATTGAACATGTTCGTTTATCGTCATAGTCTAAAAGATTCAGTGTCATTTGAAACTGTAAACGATGTACAAGAAGTCTCATTGGACTTTTGACACATAACATCTTGAAAGGGAGCCTTGACAGCCGTGTCGTGCACCAGCTTACCAGACGAAGTTAAACGTTGAATGGATACACATACTTGTACAGAAGGTCTGGGACAGTCACAGCACTAGAGGACTCTCGGCATTCCATCCAGGCATGTACTTGCAGGTGCTATAGACAAAAGTTCATTTCGTAAGTTCTCATTCAGATTACAATAAAGCATTCCTTTCCTATCATCATACTTGAAAATGTGGCCACGGCCACAAGTGAGAAATCGTTTTCATATATTCTAAAATACCGACAACTTATCATCTTTACGTTGGTCGTACACTGGGTTTCTTCACGACCGACTTCAGGATAGCCTAGGGTGACCAAACGTCCCGTAAAACGGGATTTCACAATCGTACCTGTTGTCCCGAAAAAGTGTATCGGGACGCCTAAATGTCCCGTTTTTTGTAAAACAAAACACATGTTCTAATCACTAATAACATTCAATAAAGTTCAATAACTAGGAGGTCGAGATTCTATCTCTTAGGACCTCGGCCATGAAACATAGCCTAGTAGTCCCTAGGGACTCCGGCCATGCAGCACGGTCTCGAGTAAAAGGATTTCTGGGCAGTTTGCTTCCACTCATGAGGGGACAGTTTTGCGTCACAACCCCCCTTGCCCAATGAGTCTTGCGGTGTGGACGTTGGGTTGGAACGGCTTTGCTTCCTCTCCGGGGATGGCGTTGCGTTGCCTCCCCCACCGCCCAGGGAGCCGTACGTTCCTTGGTGTGGTACGGCTTTACCTCCACTCCGGGAGTAGTCTCAAGCTTAACTTTCTCCCACCGTTCCTAGGAGTTGTGAGGACGTGGGTCAGAATGGCTTTGCTTCCTCTCCGGGGAGGTGTTGCGTTACCTCACCCCACCGTTCGGGGAGTGCTTCGATCGGTACTGTGTCGGGACGAAACGGTCGCCTAGGAGCGGCTTTCTCAAGGCCGCATGTTTTTAATCCTCAGCAAGGGTTTTAAAGAAACCCAAGCCTCATATCCACTATCGGCGACACGTAATCATGTTAGCGCGCAACTTCAGTTGCGTGGGAAGTCATGCGTTTTGCGTGGATCCTTTGGCTTCAGGAGTTTGACTCCCTACTAATCTCCCACACCGCGCAGAGGTAGGATCCGTGTGACACCACCGCAAGCATGGCGATGTGAGTTTCCTCCCTTTCTAGCGATAGCCGTCCTGAGGGGAAATCTCGGAGTTTCTAATCACTAATAAAGTTCAATACTCTAAAGGGTCGAGATTCAATCTCTTAGGACCTCTGATACGATCTTTGCGGCACGCCTCATCTGCTGGGCGCTACCTTAAAGGAGCTCATTTAGGCAGGCCTCCGGATTCCTACCATCGGCCCCCGTCCCACTACTCGGACAGGTGACCACCAAGTGGGCTACTGTCTCCTCTTCTAGTCCGCATAACCGGCACAATGGTTCCCTTCTGTTGTCAAGTCGATGGAGATAGCTGCGCGTCGCCCAGTGTCCAGTCCTCATTTGAGTAATAAGGCTTTGTTCTCCACGACTAAGTTTGCTCGGCCGCTGCATTTTCTGGTAAGGCTGTCGTCCAGTGGCCGCCGTGTACCACCTTCTGTGCCATTTGTCCTTGAAATGGTCTTTGATCCAAGCCGTGACTCCCAGCTGAGTCATTGGTTTGTCTGGTTGGGGTTGGGCCGCGCCTTCTTTGGCTAGGAAGTCTGCCCTGTCAGGAAGCGACGCTTCCCAGTGCGAAGGGATGAACTGTAGAACTACCTTAGAGCCTTTCGCATGGATATTACTTACTGTCTCCAAAATGGCTGTGACCATTTTTGATCCCACCGAGCCCCCCCCCCCCCCCTGTGTTCGAGAGCTGAACTAGAGTTGGTGAAGACCACTACGTCCGGGAAGGTTCGCTAGCCGTTGGTGGACCCTTTTGAGAGCTACCAGTATCGCCTCAATTTCCGCACCGAGGCTCGTTGCGTTGCTTCCGCTTGGGCCTGATAGCTCCTCGGGTGGGGCTATCTCTGCGGGATACTGGATAAGGGCACCGTAGCCACTACGCTTTTCCCTCGCAAAGCATGAGCCGTCCGTGAAGTCTTTAACCAGACTGTCCGGGTAGGCGTTGATCGTGTTACGTACAGCCTCTGATGGTTCTGGTTGAGGACTGTTTTTGTGGGCATTAGTGTTGATCATGTCTAGTCGAATGTCTGGCCGGGATAGGCTTTTGTGAGGTCCCCGCGCGGGGATCACTTTCACTTTCCCCCTGTTTCCGAATAAAATTACGTCTTTTTCGAGACTGTCCACCGTGTCCATGAAGGATGGTCTCTTCAATCTGGACTTTTTTTTACCCATTTGTCCTGCAGTTAGAAACAGGGTTCTTCTCTCTCCATACGCCGGTACCGTTCCACCGTCGTAAGGACTGCCTGTTCCCGCCTGACCTCGAGCGGCTCGACTTTTGACATGACTTCCACTGCCGCCGTGGGCGTGGTTCGTATTGCCCCGCATACAAACCTTAGAGCTCGGTTTTTTATGCGGTCCAGTTCCTCCAGAGCCGTGCGACTCGCGAAGGTTTGGACAGGCAAACTGTTGTCCATGGCCCCCCTCACACTGCTGAGATAGAGCGATCTCAGCAGCCTTGCGTCTGCGCCCCATCTAGTGCAGGCCAACTTTTTCACCAGACCTAGTTTTCGTGAAGCTTTAGCGCACAGTTCGTGTACATGGTTGTGAAGTCGGAGTTTCTGGTCCAACCTCACACCCAAGTAAACTGGTGTCCTGTCCCATACCAGATCTTTTCCGTTTATGGAGAGTTTTACATCGACCTTAAGCGCCTTTCGTCCATTCGTGAACTTAGAGTAAAACGTCTTCTCGGTGTTCACAGCCATTTTCCACTTTCTCGCATAAGCTTCAATGCTATGCAGATCATTTTGCAGCCGTTTCTGAAAATAATGTTAGTAAGGCGTTTGAGGTCCAATTACCCATTCGTTAACAGTGGCGTGGGGTGTAAAAATCATATATCGGACTTAAACTTAAACAAACTACTTTGGGGACCATTAAGAAAATACGTCCTGCATCTAAAAAAAGGGGGGGGGGGGTAAGGTGGGTTCACCATTCTATGATGATGTATTATTGTGAGTGAGACAAAAGTTTGGGACGAATAATTTAAGTGACGACATGTGACGGTGGCGTGCGTGTTGCTGACGTTTTCCCCTTTATTTGAGAGGGCCATGTGCGCC